ACTTCTTCAAAGGAAACCTTCGAACGCAAGTTTGCGGAATAATTGCACGAATGACAATGATGAAGAATGATGATTACGGAAAATGGCTCGCGGGACTAGAGAATGCCGAGAATGCGAAAATATATGTTTTGAAAAAAAAAATAAATAGTCACGAGGAGCCAGTTCAGTTATAGATGGGATTGAACAGTCACCAAGAACCGAATAAATTCGTTCAGTTGACAGACGGTTATCGGTAAAAATTAACTTCCAAGAACCGAACATGTCTGTTCGTCCAAAACAGAACAGGCATCAAACATATTTGTTCGAAAAAAATAAAATAAAAATTCGAAAACAAACATGTCTATTTGGGAAAACAAAACTGATGACCCAACCCGATCCGAGCCGGACAGCGGCGCGCGGGGGGGGGGGAACCGACCTAGCTTGGCGTAGGTCCTCTTCCTTCCACAAAAGTGGGGTGCCCCTTAGGGCCCAAACCCATTTGAGAGGCTCATCTAAATAAACCATCTCCCATCACAACTTCTATCCTATGTGGGACTTTCCATCCACACTTCTCATTCACAATTTATGAATTTTTTATACTAAAATCCCAACAAGTTTGGCATGTCGGAGCAGGACTTTAACGACCTCCACCACCACTTCTACCTGTGGAAGCACGTGGGGTCCCATTGTGTCCTCAAGGAGGTCCTCACCGAGTCAACTTGGTTGTCGGCTCAGTCCAAGTCGACTTAGTCGTCGTCAAATATCTTCAAGACGTTCCACATATGGAAGATCCTTGTTGAGGAAGGCCAAGACGAGAAACGGGATCTGAGCAAAGCAGTACAGCCTCTGCCTGAGGATATCTAATTGGGACAAGCAGAGAGTTGAGTGGTTGAGGAACACCCAAATTATTCCAATATTATCGGCCCAACAAGCCGAGCGTTTTGCTCATCACAGGTTCATCTCTAAAGCGAGAACCCCGTTGGTGATCATTACTTGTTAAAATCGATTAAAATTAAGATGTATTATTGTAGGTTGCACAATATTGAAATCTTTCACAATAGGATGCCCTTAGATGTGGAGATTGCTACGTTTTGAGCTAAATTGCCTTTGATTAGGAAACTATTGTGGTCACATCCGGAGATTGAGTTCTTGTGATGGATGGACAGTGATGCTATGTTCACTGCTATGACGTTTGAGGTTGCATGGGAGAGTTATAAGGACCTCACCAAGCAGATCGAGCTCGGCTCGAACTCAGCCACTCCACCCTGCCTCTTCCATCCTTTGCGTACTGAGGAGAAGCTTCACCGCCGGTCAGCCTTCTCCAACGACAAAATTTTTGAGATGCCTCGGAACTGTCAATGGAACAAGCAAAAGAGAGAACAGAGAGATAAGAAGAAAAAGAAAGAACCAAATTATAAGTGGGATACAAAATGGGCTCCTTATTTAACTGGAATATTCGCCTAAAAGTGGGACCCATGGGGATAATATGGTCAAAACATCATAATGAGAAGTGTATTAGCATAAGAGGAAGTGGAAAAAGTATAGTGCACAGAATTTTAGGAAAAAATTTGTTCTCTTGGAGAATTATTTTTTATGTGTCAAACAAACTTAGAGCCGCTTAGATTTGCGTGCTCATTCACTATTGAATTGATCATTCACTTTTCATTTAAAAAAAAATACTGGGTATACTGAGAATTTCGTTTACGAAATCAATGACTTAAGCCAAGAGTAATCAAAATATGATATAAATATTTTTTTTGAAAAAAATATGATCTACATAATTGACATGCCATAAGATGTGTAAATAGAGAAACGTGTAAACGTTTGAAAGATGTGATTGCCCTTCGGGGAGTCAGATTTGGCCTATCGCAATGCCAACTCAAATCGGAATGGCCCTGCAACTACCATGTGGCAATCATTGGTCGCAGTAGCTGTCTCTTTCTTTTCTTAAAAGATATTTTATATTTATCATTTATTTTACTCAAATTTGATCAAATTTTAACTGGTAGAACGGTTTTCCTTTTGGTGTCTAATTGACCTAATTTTACTTCAAGGGAAGGTCACTATCCGAACTTTTTAAAGTGCGATTTGATTGTCGAAAAAGTGTTGGTAATTTCTGTATATTTCTATGTTTTATGATGAAGAATATATGAGCATATAGGGTTTATTAGATGATTATCATAGGCCGTAATTCATGAATCCAGTTACCATAGAAAACATATCGTAAAGATCTATGAATAATTTCATTCGTCTTTATGTTGATCGTTACAAGCAATTAAGGATATGAACAGTCAAAGAAGAATGCAAAATCTCCTAAATATACGCATAATCTTGATAGATTTGGAAAATTAAGGAAAATATTATAATTATCTCTAACAAAAATATTCAGAAATTCTTTGCATCATTTGATCTTTTCTTCAAAAATTTGTTCTTTTGTAGATTTATTTTTGCATGTTAAACAAACTTATAGCCCCATAAATTTGCGTGCTCATTCACCATCATACTGTTTTTTCACTTTTCCTTTCCTCAAAAACAAATACTGGGTCCACTGAGAATTTCCTTTCCGAAATCAATGACTTTAGCAAGTGTAATCAAAATATGATCTACATAATTCTTTTTTCTAAATATCTACATAATTGACATGCCAAAGATGTGTAAACATTAAAAAGATGTGGTGCCAAAAGATGGGGCTAATTCTAAAAATAAGCACCAACTTTACCTTGAGTGATAATTCTGCCCCGAACTTTTTTTTGCCTCAATAAAAAGCCTCGACTTTTACTCAAATCCCAAATCTGGCCCTTGTGATGTGAAACTTTCAAATTGTTCGGATCAGATTTGAGATTTAAGTGAAAGTTTGTGATTCTTTATGAGATAAAAAAAAGTTCCGGTCAAAATCATCACTTAATGTAAAGTTGCTGTTTTTTTTTTAAAATTTAGGTCCCAAAAGATGTGATTGCCCTTCGATGCCATGTGGCAATCACAGGTTGCAGCAGCCAACCTCCTTTTATTTTGAATGATATTTTGTATATATCATTTATTTGTCCAAATACTATTAAATTTTGACTAGTCTGATTAAACCAATTTTTACTCCCAGGGTAAGGTCCCTACCCAAAGTTTCTAGAGTGCGTTTTGATTTTCGAATGAGTGTCGCAAATTTTCGGGAGTTGACCTTAACCGACGGCTGTGGTGAAAAATTATGATATTATGATGTCATCTTTAAGGCGAAATTAATTGATCGGGCCAAATCATAAAACTCTCTATAGCTCGTGATCGGACGGCTGTGATTAAAAGATTTGATAAGATTGTCTAGTTTTTCTAGGGTTTCAGAATCCCCTTCCTATATCCTTCTTCTCTCTCTTCATGCTAGTTTTGGGTTTTTTTTCTTTTTTCTTCATTTTTTGCTTTTTCTTTATTTTCGTTTTTATAATTTGGGTCTATTTCCTGATGTTGGTTCCCATTAAGCACCGTGTTTCCTCAAACTATATTAAAAATAGCATGTCTTGGGGACTGAGCCCTATTCCTTCTCCGCAAAAATTTCGATATTACATGGTATTTATTAATGATTTCTCCTATGAGCATTTCTTCTATCAGATTTCTTTGAGATTTTCCTATCTTTTCATAAATTAGTTGAAAATCGGCTAGAATTTTCCGTCACTCAAATTGAACGATTATATTAATTGAACAAGTTTTAGGATTTTAATTACATATTTTGAAAATTTAAGATCTTGATTGTACTTTCATGGTAAGATTTATAACTTTTAGTACACTAATCCCGATAAATCACTAAGATGAATAAGGCGAATCATCAATCAATCTATTATACTCAACGAAATGAATCACCATTTTTTTCTCAGAGCTTAAACAAACAAGCACTAGCTTTTGAAATTACCGCATGCCAGTTGAGAATCAACATCTGTGCTTCACTCACTGGTCCAAGCTAGAGATGAAAATGAAAACGGTGGAGCTTCAACGCAGTATCAATAGATTTTCCGAAAATTACAAATACCAAACTCTTTAGCCTAGCTATTGTCCCTTGTACAAGTGAAGAGATCAATCGCCATTAGTTAAAGATAGATCGAGAAGTGTTGGATATTTCAATGGTTTTGAGTTATTATTTTGTAATGACTTTAATGGAAATTATGATCGCAATCAATTTGTAACGGCTCTGTAACGTTGATTTGATTTATTTTCTTAACTCCATGCTTTATTTGCCTATAAAAGGAATCTTCAAATCACAATAAAACCATACCAAAAATAAGAAATTCTCTCTTTTCTTTCCATTTATTAGCTAGGTTTTACATATAAAGATATTGTCAACCTCCCTCTATTATTTTGTGCGGAGTAAAGAGGATAGCCGCTAGAACTTGTTGCACCAAGTTCCATACTGCGAGGTACTGTGCTTGTAAGCCTATGATATTTTGTTCTTATTTTTTCATCTACTCCAACACATTCTCTTTACAACAATATTAAAGATAATGCCATTAGAGTTATTCTCTAATTTTTGGCTGAATAAGACATGATTTCCACGATCGGCCTGATTTCCCAGCTGTCCATGCCAAGAGGTTTGTGAAGCTCGATAGAGACATCTTCTGCCCTGCGCAACTCTTCCTGGAGTTCCTCGTGGAGAGATCTGCGCAAGTCGAAACCGAGAAGAAGATTATAAAGGTTGACGAGAAAAGAATCCCATCAAATGGCATCCCAACAGTGATGAAATCCGTCAATCAAGAGCTACGCCTACCAGGTCGTTCCCTTCCAATGAAATTTCAGAATTGATTTCGATTCGATCTGAACTTGTCTTTTGCTCCTTACTCTATTTTGTTCTCTTGTCAATTATAAGAAACCGGTGAAAGCGAGGAAGTGAGAGGGCAAATAGGGGCATATAGAAAAAATATTCAACAAAGGAGAGGTGTCATTGTTGCATCGCTGTTGCCCAAATTATTGTTGCCATTACCACCGTCCACCCGCCCCACCCCGCGCCTCCCCCTCTCTCTCTCTCTCTCTCTCTCTCAGCACAGGCGAAAATGCCTTTCAAGAGGCACGTAGAAGTCGGAAAGGTCGCTCACATCAACTATGGCAAGGAGTACGGCAAGCTCTTCGTGATCGTCGATGTCATCGACCAGAACCGGGTATGCACGCCTCTTCTTTCTCATCGCAAGCTTGAAATAAACCTCATTTTTCTGTGGCCGTGAGGTGTTCTAGTTTGCGGGAGATTATGTTGCCATTCTTTGAGGAAAGAGATTGTAAGAAAATTGATGCATTGTGAGATTGGTTGAAATCTGATTAGCTAATGATTGAGAAGTGCTTGTTTGGGGAAGTTTAAATACTGTTCTTGGGGAAATTGTGTGGACGTGATGCTAGGATGGTAGATTGGTTTCTGAGAAATGCTTCTTTTTGGATTGTGCGAGTTTTTGCAGTATAAACTAGTTTTTTAGCTATTTTACATTACCAGTAGACCGATACACATGCTGTGGTTGATTAATGATTGCCACAGTTTTCGCCATTAAATGCCTTTTTCTAGTGTATAATGTTCTCATATACATGTTTGAAGCAAGATCGAGCATTGTAGATTATGGTCCTTATATGTAAGCGTCTAATAACTAGCACATATATGCTGTAGGTTGCAAATATTTTTTTTTATGTTCATTCAAACTTATGTTCTGAACACAACATTTGTTTTTTCCTTTTTGAGTTTGTTACTAGTGTGGATTTTTAGATGGAGAGAAATTCTTGTTCAAATTCTCACATTCTGCTGCTTTATAGTGTTATATTTATAGGCTAATACACAGAGAAATCCTAGCAAACAAAATAGGAAACAAAACCTAAATAGGATAACAGCTACAATCCCATGATTTGTGGAATTTGGCCGGAAAAAAAAAACTTCCCAAATAGGAAAACCCTACTCCTAACAATCAGCCACTTTTCCTACCCAAATAATCTGGCTATTCACAGCTCAACACTCTCCCTTAAGTTGGTGAATAGATATCTTCCAGTTCCAGCTTGGTAACTAGCTCGTGAAAACTTCCACCATTAAGCCCTTTGGCCAAGATATCTACCACAATCTGTCCTGAAGGGACATAAACAAATCAATCCTTCTTTAAGTTTCTCCTTGATAATGTGCCTATCAATTTCAACTATGTTTCGTCCGTCATGCTGCATAAGGTTATGAGCAATATTAATTGCAGACTTATTATCACAATATAGCTTCCACTCGACCTTCAAGTCATCAAGAATGATCTTGACCCACAATAACTCACATATTCCTTAAGCTGCTGCCCTAAACTCGGATTCTGCACTAGATCGTGCCACCACATTCTGTTTTAACTTCTCCAAGTTACCTCCACGGAAGGTACAATAACCAGTTGTAGACCTCCTGTCAACCACGGATCTAGCATAATCCACTTATGTATAAGCTTCAAGCTTGAGATCTGGACTCTTCTTGAATAATACCTTTCCTAGGCTCCCTTTTAAGTAGTGTAGGACTCGATGAGCAGCCTGTAGATGTGACTCATTTGGATTATGCATGAAATGACTAATCAAGCTTACTGCATAAGAGATATCTGGTCGGGTTTGAGCAAGGTAGATCAACTTTCCCACCAATCGTTGATACATTTCTCGATCCACTGTTGCCACCTCTTTTGCTTCTGTTAGTCTCTCGTTCGGCTCAATTAGAGTAACTACTGGTTTGCAACCAAGCTACCCGGTCTCTTCCAAAAGATCTATTACATACTTTCGTTGTAAAATAAAGACCCCTTGCCTTGAGTACGAAACCTCAATTCCCTGAAAATACCGTAGATTTCCTAACTCTTTTATTTCAAACTTTTTAATCAAGCACTGTTTGATCCGTTGTTTCTCCCTTTCATCATTGCCCGTGATTATTATGTCATCAACATACACCAACAATGATGTAACTCCCCTTACATCCGAGTGTTTTATGAACATTATATGATCTCCCTAGCTTTGTTTATACCAAGATGCCCTCATGACTCCAGCAAATCGTCCAAACTAGGCTCTAGGTGACTGCTTGAGCTCGTCTAGTGCTTTATTAAGTCTATAAATCTTTTCTGTTGTTTCCTTTCCTTCAAAACCAAGTGGGATGCTCATATAGATTTCCTTTTCCAAATCTCCATATAAAAATGCATTCTTTACATCATACTGTCGAAGTTCCCAATCAAAATGAGTAGCTAAAGACAATAAAATTCTTACACTATTCATTTTAGCCACTGGTGCAAATGTCTCTTGGTAATCCGCTCCATATGTTTGAGTGAACCCTTTGCAACTAATCTTGTTTTGTACCTCTCTAGAGAGCCATCTGCCTTGTACTTTACAGTGAATACCCACTTGCAGCCAACTAGATTTATTCCCCTTGGCCTATCAATGATTTCCCACGTTTTATTTTTTTCCAGTGCTTTCATCTCTTCATTCATGGCATTCCTCCATTCCTCTTTTGACAGTGCTTTAGACAAAGTGTTAGGAACAGCAATAGTGTTTAAACACACAATAAAGTTTCGGTATGATGATGATAATCTATTAAGGGACGCATAATCACTGGTTTTTTGGTGCACTCTCTAGTCTCTTTTCTAACAACAATAGGTAAATCAAGATAGTCTCGGGTGTATCACTAAGCTGTTCATTCAAAGGAGATTTAGGACTTATCGTGTTCTCATTGACAGTACCCAAAGTGGCATTTCAAACCTACTCTTGTGTTGGAACGGTTGTCCTCTTTGAATACACAGGAGAAAATCTCACAGAATCATGAATACGAGTTGGACTACTCGAATAAGAATAGAGACAGGTTGGTGCGTGGGAGATTATGGTGGACAAGAGATAGGATTCAAGGTAGGTTCAGGAGCTACAGTGGACAAGTTTGGGTTGACAGGGACATTCGACAGCAAATCCTGGTTATCAATAACACCAAGGCCCTTATCTTCCATGAGTGAAGACTCCCCCTGAAGATAAGATTGTGAACAATAGGGTTTATTTTCAACAAAAGTGACATTTATAGAGAGATAAAAAATTTTGGAAGGAGGATGGCAACATCTATAGCCTTTTTGTGTTTTTGAGTAACCAAGAAACACACATTTGATTGTGTGAGGACCTAACTTTCCTCGTTGATGATGATGAGTGTGGACAAAGGAAGTACAACCGAAGACTCGAGGTGTATGACCAATAGATGTACGAAAGTGAGGATAAAACTGGAAAATAGCTTCCATGGGAGTCTTATAGTCTAATGTACATGATGGTCGTCTATTGATCACGTATGTAGCCATAAGAACAACTTCCTAAACCTGCTCATGAAACAATAAAGCGCAAGTTGTGTTAAAAAGATGACCATTTTTTCTTTCAGCAATCCCATTTTGTTGTGGGGTATTCACACAAGATGACTCATGGATAATACATTCCTTTTGAAGATAAGGGGCCAATACTTGATTAAAGTAATCTCTAGCATTATCAGATCGAAAGACCTTGATCTTGACCACAAACTAAGTTTGAATCATGGAATGAAGGGTAGGAATAGTGTTACTCACATTACATTTATGTTTGAGTAAGAAAGTCCACGTGACCCTAGAGCAATCATCAATTAGAGTGATAAACCAACGAGCTCCAGCACTGTTGGGAATCGTGAAAGGTCCCCAAATGTCACTGTGGATTAAGTCAAAAGGATTAGAACTACGGTGATTGCTAATAGGAAGTGGAACACAATTATGCTTGGTTAATTCGCAAACATCACAATGGAAATCTTTAATATTCAAATATTTAAACAAGGATGAAAACATAATACTCAAGAATTGAAAGGACGGATGACCAAAACAAGAATGATGAAGCTAAATAACTTCTTTATTTGAAGTACTAAGAAACGATGAAGACAGATTATTCATGATTCTTCTTGTAGTGAGAGGTGTCTCAAGGTAATATAGCCCATTTTGTTCCTTAGCAACTCCAATCCTCTTCTCCGAGCCTTGATCCTGGAAAACACAGTAAGATGGGTAAAAAATAGCTTGACAATGAAGATCTTTTGTGAGTTTTTGTATAGAGGTAAGATTGGCAGATAATTTAGGGACATGAAAGACATCATTAAGGACAAGATTAGGTGTGATAGGAACATTTCCAACCCCTACAACAGTAGCAAGAGACCTATTTGCCATAATAATCTTCATATTGCTAAGACAAGGTATATAGGTGTTGAAATGGGTTGAGGTATGAGTCATATGATCAGTAGTCCCTGAATCAATAGCCTAATAATTACCTGAGAGTGCTAGTGAGCATGCACCAAAAGGTTTATTAAAAGAACAAACAAACCTCTTAATTTCCCAATTTCTTCACTATTGAAGGTTGCTTTCTCCCGAACTTCTTCGTGACCAGCTTGCTCAGTTAGGTGGACCCGGGACCTTGGTTGTGTTGCCTGGTTCACCCACTCTCGACGTGAAGTATTTGGTTTGCCATTTAATTTCATACACCTAGGTTGCATCACGGGCCTTTGAGTTTGTCCGTCCGATGGAATCCCAGATTTCATTTGCTGTTGGTAGAAACATACAAGCATCACTTATGGCTAGTTTTATGGAATTCCATAGCCATGATATGATCATGGAATTAGCCTCATCCCATGCATCAAAATCAGGATCTCCTAGCTTAGGTCTTGTCCTAAGTAGATGACCGAGTTTTCCTTTGCCCTTCAAACACGTCTTGAAAAATTGTGATCACTTGAGATAGTTCTTCTCTTTCAATCTATAGGTTGGCCTGATATTTTGAAGATCACCTATCATGTGTATTGAGGCGACCTCCTCAAATTGGTTAGTGGTAGGAGAGGTAGAATCTATGGCTTTGGTTGTGGTTTCGAATGTGGACATTTTGGAGAGTGAACGTTAGGAAGAAAATAAGAGAAGTAATACAGCTATGAAGGCTTCACACAGAGGAAAAAAATTCTGAAGAATAATAGACAACAATAAAGGCTAAAAATCGCAGTAATAAAGGCTACAATTTGAAATCCAGAAATCTAGCCTAAAGCTCTAATATCATGTGGATTTTTAGATGGAGATTTATTCTCATTCTCATATTCTGCTACTTTACAGTTCCTAGCAAACAAAATTGGAAACAAAGCCTAAATAAGAGAACAGCTACAATCCCACAATTTGTGGGATTTGACTAGAATAAAAAAAAACATCCTAAATAGGAAAGCCCTATTCCTAACAATCAGTCAATTTTCCTACATATTTACAATCAGATAATCTGGCTTTTTATTATGACAAAAAAAAAATCTGGCTATTTATAGCTCGATAACTAGTAATAGGGTGGAATGGGAACGTAATATCAACTTGCCATTTGAGAGAAAATCAATATGATTGAGGTAGCAATGAAATTACACTAATTTACGATCACCTTTTGTGCAAATTAATATGCATGAAAAACATTGGATGGGGAAAGGTGAAGTGATGAGAACATGAAATTTCATTAGGATTCTACTTTCTGGTCGTGGTATAATTTTTAGTGACTCTGGAGGGCTTGCCAATATAATCTCTTTTCACTATTTTAAAATAACCGTGATCTTTTTATATTTATTCATACTATCGATGTCATGTGTGAAGTGTTTGACTGTAATTTGAGATCGTGCCGTTTCAGATGCATTATTTAGGTTTTGTAGCATCGAGTGGTGACAAGTGTTCATTTGGTGGGAAAATGTTGTTTGATCTATAATCTTTTAAGACATAAATTAATATGGTATATTCTAATTGAAATTTATTGTGATGTAATTGAACGGTATTCATTCGTATTTGTGTTATTTTGTTTCTTTGATAGCATAGAAAATTCATAAAAGTTATAGTGGTTAAATGCTTACTCAAGAGCATTGGTGAAGAGGTTAATTTAGGAAAAAAAAAGCATTAATGTAGTGAATTTCCCACCGTATCAGAAGGATACAGTGATGCTAACTGGATCTCATATTCAAATGAAATAAAATCCACTTGTGGAAATGAGTTCAACATTGGTGGAGGTGCTGAAGATGCTGTAACTTGGAAATTAACGAAATAAAATTATGGGGGCAATGACAATCCAGCTAAACCAAAAATTAATTTGGTTAAAGCAAATGATTCATTATGATGACCTAATTATTGTGGTCATTTCCCAAGCCAATATTGTGGCAAATGTGAAAGAATGTGTGGTAGACTTAGGTTATACCAGGCATATATGTGCAAGCAATATGCATTGTCCTCCTACACTTCAGTAGGAGAAGGAGAAGAAAATATTAATCTTGGTGATTTGACAACTGCTCAAGTTCTTGGGAAAGGGAATGAAACCAACACATTCTGTGTCTACGTATTATGATTGCCAAAGGGCAATAGGCATTGCAAAGATTATAACTTTCAATGGTGAAAAGAGACATCCAATTAAGACGTTATATGGTAAAGCAATTGCTTAAAAATGAAATTATATACATTGATTAGTAAATTCGGCCAATCCTCTTACTATACATCTAGGCAATGGGACTCAAGCCAGTTGAGAAAAATCAACAATGATATTAACCCTACCTATGTGATTAGAGATCCCATGAATTGAATTCATATAAGTAATACCAAGTCACTTGTTGATCTAGTAATGCACTATTAAAATTATTGTCCCTCCAAAGGTGAAAATAATGTAAGACTACAATGAAAGAGAGGTTGAGCTAAGCTCCTAATGAATTCTATAGCCATTATTGGTGGTGTATTAAATTGTAGAATGCATTGATGGAATAACCTATATAAGTGTGGCGTCAAGCTGCTCCTATGAGAATTTTTGGAAAAAAATCTTGAGCATGGAATAAACCAGGCACGTGCATGGCCTGAGAGCGCAAAACCGCATTGAACGGCAAAATTGTGGGGGTGTAATATGATTGGTGAAAATTATAATTCGCAAATGAAATTATTGGTTCATAGAAGTTTCACACTTCACTAATGAGTTCATGAATTATATTTCATTCTTTCTAAGTCTGGTTCATAGCCTAACAAGTACCAGTTCCGATGCATTACTTTCATTGAGTTTAGTACGGTATTTATTTATTTATTTTCATAACATTTTGAAATATCTAGGGGATTATTGAATATTTCAACATTTTTGAATTATTCAAAGCGATTATTTTGTAATGGCTTTAATGGAAATTATGTTCGCAATGAATTTGTAACAGCTCTGTAACATTGATTTGATTCATTTCTTTATTACCTCTACTTTATTTGCCTATAAAAAGAATCTCAAATCAAAATAAAGGCATGCCAAAAATAAGAAATTATTTCTTTTCTTTTCATTTGTTTGCTAGGTTTTATACATAAGGATGTTATTATGTGGAATAAAGAGGATAGCCATTAGAACTTGTTGCACCGAGTTCCGTACTCCGAAAAATAATAAATAAATGCTGGGAAAACTTAATGAATGTAATATATCGAAACTGGTGCTTGTTAGGCTATGAATAAGACCTTGAAAGAATGAAATATAATTCACATAATCATTGGTGAAGTTTGAAACTTCCATCAACCAATAATTTCTTTTGTGAATTATATTTCTCACCAATCACATTATACCCCCATAATTTTGTTGGTCGATGCGGTTTGCGCTAATAGGCCATGTGCATGCCTGGTTTATTTATAAGTGCTCTAGAGATTTTTGCCAAAAATTCTCATAGGAGCGGCCCCACTTCACACTTATATAGATGATAGATCAAGTGTATTCTGCAATTTAGTACACCACCGATAATGATATGGAATTCATTAAGAGCCTAGCTCAAACTCTCCTTCATTGTAGTCTTACGCTATATTCACCTTAGGATGGATGATAATTTTTAATAGCGCATTACTAGATCAACAAGTGATTTGTTATTACTCATATGAACCTAATTCATGGAATCGCCAATCACATAGGTTGGAATCACTATTGATTTTTCTCGACTGGCTTGAGTCCCAAATGTATCATAAAT